CACACACACACACACACACACACACACACACACACACACACACACACACACACACACATGCTTCCACTTGAGTCTGGGTTTGAATAAATCACGAGACGGAGGGCAACAAATATCCCTCCTAGTCTAGACGGCCAGCTTAAAGGCTTCTGTCTGTTGCTTTTCCTCTATTTTTTATTTTCTTTCTGATTTTTCTGAGGAAGGAGAGGGCATTAAAAACAGGTTTGCCACAGAGACCAAGACTCCTGCCAAAGTGGAGAACGTTAGAGCACCATATGTAAAACAAATTGTAGACTTTCTCCTCCTCATCATTCTTCTCCCTCAGTGGCGTGGAGCGACGACGAGGAGAAGCGGGGGATGAAGATGACAAATATGGTGACACACAGCCCCTGTTTGGCTGGTTGGCAGCTTTAGACACTGTTGATTGTATCACAGTAACTCAACCATCCTTATCAGGTGGTCATTACGTTTGGCATGGGCCTTATATTATGTTTGAATCACAAGATTTTCATTATGTCAATAAAAATAAATTACCCTTTTCCTTTTTATCCTAATTAAAAATGACAGTTTTCTGATCACAATTTTTTATTGCCCCTATTTAATTTCATTAATCTAAACTGTTTTTACAAAAAAATAAAAAATAAACTGCAATTTTTGCCAAATTGTGTGGTGAACACTGAAGGCTGAAGAACTGGTTTAAACTTACTGAATAAGCAGAAACTTGATTGTTAAAGCAAAACACTAGCTGAAAGCCAAATATAGGAAAATTAGAAGTAAAATATAAAAGTAGCAAAACACTGCCGAAAAACTTTGAAGTAGCAAAAGTCTAGCTAAAAAACAGAAACAACTAGCTAAAATTAATAAAAGGTTAGCTAAAAGCTAAGGTGCATCAGTTGCTTCTTACCATCACAAGAGGGCGTGTTGGGGCTGGCAGTGAACCCACGGTCGCACACACACTGATAGGTTCCCTCTGTGTTGAGACATCTGCCATGAGGGTGGCAGAGCTCTGCTTCCTCCACGCACTCGTCGATATCTGAGACAAACCAGAGAGAAACAACTGAGACCTCTGAGTTTGGACTTCTTTTTCTGGCTTTGAAGCTGTGCTTCTGGGAAATGACAGCTATTTGATGACCAAAACTGCTTAACTTCAGCAATTTAAAGAGTATCTTGCTTAAATCCCTGATCAGACGTGGATCTCAAGAACACTTTTATTGTTTAGGCCTACCTGTGCAGCTGGTTCCATTGATCTGTCGGAAACCATCAGGGCAGGAACACGTGTAGGAGCCCATGTTGTTGACACAATCGCCCACAGCCCCGCAAGGCTGGTCCATTTCTTCACATTCATCCACATCTAGAAGATCAACACATAAACATACATCACACAGAAACCAATGTGATTAGGAGTGCCTGCATATAATGTTCACACAAACAACACATTTATAGACACCACATGGTACCATCACTGAACCACCAGGTTGGGTTTAACGGACAGCATTTCTGAGGATTCGTAAGCAGAGATTCATGTCTGTGTCAGAAACCAGGTCTGCTTTATTTAAGCCACAAATGTTCCAAATGCAAGACACTGGAGTCATAAAACAGGAATTATGTTTCCCATTTAATAGCTGCAACTAATGCTGCCATTATGAGGGTGGCAGGAACACACAGCAAGGAAGAAAAGTGCAATCTACAGCCTACTCATCATATATTCAGCTACAAAAAAACATCTCAGGTCTTCAGTGAAGCAGTAAGTGCAATTCCACTTTTATTGATCAGTATATTTGACTGTAAATGTGATGCATGATCAAGTACTGACACATCAGGCATCGACTCATGTACAAATGTGGTTGATATTCTTAGGTGCTAACAAGCAACGTGAATGAGGTGACAGTGATAACCAATAAACCACTACGCAACTTATATTCAAACGTTTAATTTCATATTATTTTGGTTTATATTTGATATTGTTATAAATAGAAAGTATGAGTATTTGGTAAACTGTAAAAATTGTTTAAAATAGAAAAAAATTAACATTTCTGCAGAATTCTAAACCAATAACTCATGCTATGGTAGCTTGGCGGTCAGTGCCGTGGTCTTGTAATAACCCTAACATTAAATCCTGGGGCTGAAGGGCTGAGCTCTGGTTGGGTCAGGAAAGGCATCTGCTGTTCAATCATTGCCAACAGGCCAACAGAATAACTATAACCAAAATTCAGCTCTCCGTCTCCATCCAGATGAGAAACTCCAGACATCTTTCTTCCTAGCGACAGTCTCCAGCACTTCCTGGGAGATATCAAGTTGTTCTCAGGCCAGAAAAGATAAACAATCCCTCCAGTGAGTTCTGTCTCTGCCCTGGAGCCTCTTCCCAGTGGGACATGTCAGAAAACCCTCTAATCAAATGCACCACCTCAACTGATTCCTTTTGATGCAAAAGAGCAGTGCTCTACTCCGAGCTCCTCCTGAATGACTGAACTCCTCACTCTGTCTCTAAAGCTGAGCCCAGCCAGCCTATGAAGGAAGCTTATTTCAGCCACTTGTGTACAGAATCTTGTTTCTGTCATGATCCAGAACTCACGACCATAGGTGAGGGTTGGAAAACCAACAGAACAGAAAATCTGAAGCTTTGCATTTCAACTCAACTTTTTTTTACTATGACTGACAAAAGCAACACTCATTGCTCAGGCCCCAATCCATTTATGCATCTCTTGCTCCATCTTCCTGTTACTTGTGACCAAGACACCCAGATACTTGAACTCCTCCACCTGAGGTGAAAACTTCTGTCCAGCCCCAAGAGGGAACTTATCTGTTTCTGGCTGAGAACCAAGGCTTCAGACTAAGAGGAACTGACTTTCATTCCAGCTAGATCTAGTAAGAAAATTAAAAAAACCTAACTGCTTTATTATTTTACTAAGAACTCTAAAAATTATAGACACAGTAGATTTAGCGGTAAACCAGTAACCTTTCAAATATATTAAAATTTCATACCACATTACAAACCAAGGCAAGATAATGTTTTTGTTAAAAAATGCTGAAAGTTATACCTGTTGGTCAGTAGGACTAAAGGTTATTTTTATATTTCTGGAATTGATTCAACAAAGAGCTGAAAGAAACAGAAGCCTTACCGTCACACTGGTCTCCAGTTGGTGACACTCTGTAACTGGGCCCACACTGGCATAGGAACGAGCCGTGGGTATTTTGGCAGTGACCTCTGATACAGACCCGCTCATCCTGGCACTCATCTACATCTGCAGAGGCACAGAAGAAAGGAGAATTCCGTTAGATCAATAAAAGTTTAATCAATGAACTTGTCCCACATTTATTTTGTTAGCTATTACAAAAATAACATGCTGAGCTCAGTAAGTCGCCTTATTGAGTAAATGTTTAAAAGAACATTTGTAAAGACAAAGTTGTAAACTGTAATAAACAAACTAATAGTGAGTGACTGACTGCAGTGTTTCCTCACTGAGTGAAGGAACAGAATCTGAGTGGCTCACATCCCTGAGAGCTAATCTAATTAAATGTTTGAGGAGTAAACAACAAGGGCAAACAGAAGAGAAAGAAGCACCTCATGGTTGGACAGCATTACACGTAGTGTGTATGGCAAAAAAAAAAAAAGGCATATAGTTATTCAACTATAGTTGCTATAAACAAGCTTTACATTGCTCAAAACAAACCCTGCAGCTTCCAACGCTGTATAAATATGAGATGTGAGACAATCTGAGATTTAGGGTAGATTAGTCAAAATGTAGCTTTTGGTACACCTCAAACAGCTAATATACTGCCTACACATTTAGGCTAATCAGAATTGTGCTTTTTACCTCTTATACACAGGTCAGTCTCAGCTCTGATTTGATGAAAAGAAGAGGTCACTTTCTAACACAATGATTGCAATCACAAAAGTCAGATGTGTGCTTCCTAATTTTCCTCCTTCACCAGCTCTCATTAGGGGTTACCTCAGCAAATCATCTGCCTCTGTCTCATCCTACCTTTCCTGTCACACCGTCTCTTTGCATACCCACCTACGTGACATCCACGAACCTTCTCTGCAGTCTCTTTTCTTTCTCCCTGGCAGCTCCATATTCAACGTAATTTTCCCAAAATATCTACTACACCCCCTCTGCATATGTCCAAACCATCTCTCTAAATTTGTCTCCAAACTGCTCGGCCAGAACTGTCCTTCTGATACACCCATTCCTAATCCTGTCCATTTTCGTCCCTCCCAAAGAAAGTTTTAACATCTTTATCTCTAGACCACTTCCAGCTCTGCTTCTTGTCTTTTTGTTTGTCCTCTTCACTCCTGCAGATATCCTACTGTCACACATCAGCCCTCTCTATCCACTCAACCCTACTGGCACTCGTTTCCAATTCTCTTATGAACTAATGGTATTTTGCATTGCAAGGCAAAGCCCAGCCTGGCCCTAGTTGAGTGCCGCCTCATTGTGGGCAGAGATCATTTCAAAAACGCCGACACAACAGTAGACAACATCAAGTTCGTGGTAGTTCTCTTCAAGTCTCTATAGGTTCGAGACCAGCTGAAACAGAGCAGGACAGCATCAAATCGGCCACAGCAGCCCAACCTAAATAGAACCCCAGGTCTCTGGGTTCCAGAATCATGATGGAAGTGGGCCATAATGGCAAATGCAAATATGAATGCAAAAATGCCATAACTGTTGCTTTCCCTCTTGCTTCTGCTGCTTTTGAATTATTTTCCTTTAGGGACACACCTTTACTTCTCCATGTTCTCTTCCATCTGCTCCCTACCCTCACTAATCTGAGACAAGCATAGCCAAGGAGACTCATGCCTGATCTAATCTGCCAGCCTGTCCATCATCATTACTCATCTTTTTATATCCCAAACACAAAGCTTTGCCCTAACTCTAAATCAGTTTTAATACTTACCAATAACCAATGTTTCTTTTTTTTGTAAAAGTGTTTTTTAATAGTTTCTGTCTGTTAGTATACAGACAAATTTAACATACAAACCCACAGACATGACACTTCCCTGACTTTGGCTGGGTGGTGCAAACATCTGTTCGATGGTTTATTGACTTCTATAAAAGATTCTGTTGCTCTGCCTTAATATTTCCTCCTGCCTCCACCATCATTTTTTGCCACCCCATTGTGGCTTGGCTTGCCTTATATGGTGCACAAACAGCCTGATCCTCATAGCTAACCTCATGTCACATAAGTAGGATGTAAGAACAGCAGGCTACAGAAATAAGAGCAAGATGAGCACAACTTTGGTTTGTGCTTGAAGTTTCAGGACTTCTAGAGGAAAAAAACTGGGTCCACACTGTGAGTAGTTCAAAATAGTTTGTTGTTTTACTGCTTGATGAGGGGATTATTTTTGTCTGCATGCATTTCCTAGGTTGATTTATATGTGTGTGTTAGTGGCTAGACATTGGAAATTGAGAAGGCAGGACGTAATCTATTCTGAAAATGGTACAAAGCCCCAGGAAACAAGAACTGTAAACTTCATCAGTCAGGGTGTCAGCAAAGACACCAGTGATGAAGGTCACATATTACTTTAGTCAAAAGAATAATAAGAAGGCACATTGCAAAAATGACTTTTGTGTATTTTTTTTTAAATTAATGTTTCAACGGTACCACTAATGGATTGTACATTAGTCCATTCCAAAGTGTGGGTTAACTTGCAATCCTAAAACTAAAAGGGGAAAGCATGTTTTTGTCTCTCCCCTGTGTCATTGACCATAGTTATCTTTTGTCATCCTTGCCTTTGGACAACCACTCACACCTGTGTGACTTTATGTTAGCCTCAGCTGCAATCACAGTGTAAAGCTCCAAATAGGGCTGGGTTTTCTAACTTGGTTCTCCTAAATTCCATTGTTGTGCCTGGATAATTTAATGCAAATGTTTACGGAGCCTGTCCGGTGACATTGGATAAAAAAATAATGCATGGCCATGAGGTAATTTWGAGCAGCCATGTCTCTTTGAAAGAGACATAGACGTTTTTGGAGTCTGATTATTTGGTGTATGTTTAATCTAAAGAGTATACTTCATTTTTCATAGAACGAGTATTCACGAGATGACATTAACCTCTCTAAGTGTGTGTCGGCAAACTTTTTTTTTTGCTGTATTCCTGAACGTGACATAACTCCAACTCCTTTCACAGCAAAAGTGAGAACAAGAGCAGCCAATTTTAAGGTTTAAGCTTCAAATACAATAATAAAGCTATTTAATAGCTGCAGCATATGTTGCTAAGTATTATTTCATGCCTAACTGTAATGACTACAATAATTATCTAATGGCCATATTTTTTTTTTTATCCACTGTCACCGGACAGGCTCCTTAACTTTCATTTCCAYTGTTCCATGTAATGATACCAAAAACTACAGTACTCTTTTTCTGACTGAGCTGATGTCATTTTTGCAGGAATTGTTTTCAAAGCTACCAGAGGTGTAAATTGAAAATTGTGATGAGAAAGAGAAAAAATTGCAGGCAAATTTTGTGGCCGTTGCAGCATCTCACAAGTAAGAGGATGTCTCAGTCAAAATAAATCCACAGCCTGTGTTAGTATGTTTATTTGTACCTGTAAAACATGAAATTTGAGAATACTTGTTTACAGCCTTGATGCTGACCAAAGTTTGACTTGTTGGAAAGATTATTGGAACCCTTAATTTAAAAAAGATGCATTGCAGTAACATGGAGAGAGTTGTGTTGGACTTACCTACACACTGGCCTCCTTGCCCTAAAAAGCCGTCAGGACAGGATCCACAGCTGTAACCTCCTGCCTCRTTGTAGCAGATACCCGAAGGACACACTGTCCCATTCTCACATTCATCAATATCTAAAATAAAAAGAACCAAAAGACAGTCAAAAAGACTAGATGAGGGTATTTTTTTAAATCCTGTGATTCTTCGATTGGTCTTGTTTTTGTATACTTTTATTACATACTTTGGTTGCATATAAATAATTATGTAAACTTCTAAAAAAATAAACCAGCTTGTGATTACACACCCTCAACAGCTGGGGAGAGGTTTTACTGCAGCTATAGGGAAATAATCATCAGGCCTGCTTGCCCCCACAGCCCTGGTTCAGTATTATTTTGGTGGGTGGGGAGAGCTCCACTGAAACAGCAGGAAACCACAGAATGACAGAGTGCCTCACATTTAGGTCCCAGCACGGCAATGAAGCGGGCAGGAGGGTGGTGCTCAGACCGGTAACTATGTGGTCTCTGGTCTTATTCAGAATTCCACTCACTTATAAAGAAAATGTGAGGAAGCTTTGTTGGATGGGATATGGATCTGTGCTCAAAGCTTTGGCTGTACCAAGAAGACTCTTGAGGCACTTGATGCTTCACAAGAGCCTGATCTTTTATGGCTCTTCAAAGACCCCAGAATACTGACTGATGACCCTGCTATGGTTTTGTGACTAGATTGACTGGAATTTTAAACTGTTCACAGTTTTTTCCACCTTGACTAAGGCCCCAGTCCAAGCTGAAGAAAAGCAGCCCTAAAGCATGCTGCTGCCACCACCATGCTTCACTGTGGGTATGGTGTCCTTCTGGTGATGTACAGTGTTGGGTTTGCACCAAACATACCTTATGGAATTATGGCCAAGAAGTTAATCAGACCATGATACATTTTCCTTTTTTGGGAGACTACCACACAGCCCAGACAGATGAAGAATACGGGAGATTGTAGTGATGTACTACACAGCTAGTATTTATAAGAATTTCCTATAGCTCATCAAACATTGCTGTAGGCTTCTTGGCAGCCTCACTGACCAGTTTACTTTTTGTCTTTTCATCAATTTTGGATGATCATCCAGTTGTTGTTAATATCACTATTGTGTCATATTTCCTCCACTTGATGATGTCTTCACTGTGTTCCATATGTCTAATGCCTTGGATAAACTTTTGTACGTTTCTGACAGATATTCTTAAACAACGAGATCCCTCTGATGCTTTGAAAGCTCTCTGTGGACCACGGCTGTAAGAAAATGTCAGGAAAAGCCTACTAGAACAGCTGAACTTTATTTGGGGTGAATCAGAGGCACTATAAATGATGGGAGGTGTGTACTGACTCAGATTTAACATGAGTTTGAATGTGATTAGCTAATTCAAAACACCCACATCCCCAGTTATAAGAGGGTGTGCACACTTATACAACCACCTTATTTGAACTTTTTATTTTTATTTTCCCCCATAAATAATTRCTATTTTCCCCTAATTCAGTTGTGCAGGTTATAGCTCACATTAAAGGTAGAAAAAGTTCTGAAATTATTTACTTTGGTCTCATTTTTTTTTACATCGCATAAACCTGGATTTTAACAGGGGTGCATAAACTTTTTATATCCACTGTAGATCTACGTACTTTCTGACTGCCTCTGACAACCGTTCCTCTAAATTATCCATAGTGTTTGGATGCACAGCTGCTGACTTCTGGATGAGGTTGAAGTACCATCGCCGACCAAATGCTTTTTTTGCATAAACAAACTTGCCAACAAATATCTGACCAATCACACAATACTCAGCACATTTGTCTGTGAGGAATGGTTCAGCCTTGTGTTGAGAAGGGGCAGGCAAAGCTGCTCTGAAAAAAAAGTGTTATTTTTAATCACACCTATGAGAGCCAATTTTGCGGCTTCAGATGGGAGTTTTCAGGATCCTTTGTATTAAGAGTGGGTGCCTCTTTATGTGTGATGGTTCCACAGTGATTTCAGCTCACACAAAACTTTGCAGTGAGGTTGTGGCGTTTTTTATTGTGGTGGCAGCATATTGGAACTTTATCATTAACCTTTATTTACCCAGGCAAATCCCACTGAGATCACATATCTCTTTTTCAAGCGAGGCCTGGGCCTGAAGGCAACCTATCGTGCATATTTTGGTCTTTAAGGAGTGTTGTGGGAGTAAATTTGACATGGGACATCTGCGCACCAGCATAACTTGGTCATTGAGAACTTGCAGCAGGACTGGACACACAGGCCTCATGCCAAAGCTACAATTATGTTTGTGATAAGTTCGTGGATTTGTCCTAACACCAGTGGTGGTAGCCTCATGTTAAACTCCTGGAGTGTAGCTGCAACCTGACCCAATCTGAGAGAATTGCGCCAGAACGTGTGTAGACTGTGGTGAGTGTGTGTTAGAGCATCTTAGGGAAAATATACAGAAAATTCTGCACAAAGGGCTTAGTAGAATCATGATTTCCTACACACTGAAGGAAATTAGCCACAATCCAGTCATGTCCTAATAGGTTGTGTTTGTTGGTTAGGGTGTGTAGGTCATCATCCAATGTGAAGGGGACCTAAAGACCTGTCATACCTTCAACATGTATCAATGAGCAAGACTGGGTATCTCAACAAAAATACCCATGAAACTGTATGTTGCACTGATTGAATAGTTTATAGCTACTGTCTGTGGTTCTAACACAGAAGTTGGGAAATTTTTTCCCCCCAAGGGACAGTTGCAGAAGGTCGAACCAATAGGTTAAACTCAGTTCTAATAAATATAACAATTTAAAATTATCAATAAATAAGATTTTYATATGGAGCTAAGAGTAGATGTAACTGAATAAATATGCCTGCTCTTTGAGCAGTTTTATAGTTTATTYCAGCAAAATTCCTTTATCTACTGTATGTGGTAACTTGCAAATGAATGGAAATTTGGTACAAAAGCTATAACACACTTTTCGTGATCATGCTGCACATTTTGTGGATTTGGATATTTTTATTTTTTTATTTTACCGTTGTTTAATCAGTTAAATCCCTTTGAGATTGCAGAGCTCTTTTTCAAGAGAGGCCTGGGCCTGAAGGCAACTACATGTTTTTGGGGTGTGGGGAAAACTGGAGTACCCGGAGAAAATCCACACGAGAACATGCAAGATCCACAAAGAAAGACCCCAGATCCGAACCGGGGACCAAACCCAGGACCTTCTTGCTGTGAGGCATCAGTGCTAACCAGTGAGCCGTTGTGCTGCCAAGTAAAATTATAGTAAAACTGTGGAGAAAAGAAAACAATGGAATGGCAAGAATCATAGATGAACAGTATTAAGGGTTTTTCAAAGTCTAGAAAATGACATCTTAATTAGTTGATCCATTCATCCATTTTCTGTACACACTTATTCCTTTCAGGGCCACGTGGGTCACTGGTGCCCATATCCACCAGTCCCCGTGCGAGGGGCGGGGTACCCTGGACAGGTCGCAGGTCCATCACAGTGGACTTTGACAGTTGATTGGTTGATGTTAATCTTTAATGTTTGTAAGGTAAACACTTTCTGCTACCAAATGAATTTATTGCATTAAGTTGCATTTTACTTCAGTGCTGTTAATGAGAAGTTAAAAAGAAAAATGAATTAAAGCTGGTAATCGGCTGTTTGTAGGACGATTAATTTGACACAAAACTCATCCTTCTTGTTGCTGATGACAATTTGAATTTTAAATAAATACAACAACTCTGCTGTCATTACACACTGAATACATGTGCACCACATGACCACTGTACTTTCTGTTCCTTACCTACACATGTGTTCTCAGTGTCGTCCAGGTGGTAGCCCTCATAACAGTGGCAGGTATAGCTCTCAGCTGTGTTGTAACAAACTCCCTGACCACAAATGTGAGGGTTGATGTGACACTCGTCCACCTCTGGGCCAGAAGACAGACAGCAGAAAAACTTTACTGAGTACCACAACAATAAAAAAACATCATTATTTTAGAAAATGTAAACTAATTTTAAAATATTACATTTCTTCAAGTTTAAACTTAGAAAACTGTCACTGCTTTGATTATAAAAACTGGTGATTCTCAAGATCAAGTACTACACTACAAGCTCACCTGCTGACTGAGTCGGAGCAATTTCCTGGCCTGCATTAGTCGGGAGGATTTCAACTGGAGCGGGAGGAGAGGTCCTCTCAACAAGCTCTACTCAATCAAGACATTAAACACAAAGTTTTTGAATTTAGACTTTGTAGAATTAACAAATGAACAATAACAACATATATTTTGCAATAAATCCAGGAAGTGGTTTTGAGATTTCTTCATAACTTAGCATCTCAGGAACAATTTTTGAAATAAAATTTAAAGTAAAGCTAAAAGGTAGAACTGTATATGTTAGAGGCTTCATAATAAGTCTTTTAATCAGTTTTATGCTAAAAAAGGGTGTTATGGATTACAAGGATTATCAAGTTCACTATAGAGATGGCATATTATAGCTAGATTAATAACTTAATCTCCAACATGTAGCACTAACAAATCAGATAATCACTAGAATTTACCTAACAGCTGAGTTTAAGATAATAAAAATATGTTTTCCTTCTTTGTCGGTCCATAACAGCTCACTGTAACAAATTTTATTTCTTGTGGCAAGTGATTCAAGTGGAATGCAGTGGTTCCCAAAGTTGGGGTTGGTGCTCCTTTTTGGGTCACAAAGCATCAAGTGATGGTCACCAAATGATTTGCAGACATCAATATAAATGCAAATAAATTGCTAATGGAACATTTTTATGATCGTGAATGAATAAAATAAATATTGTAGTTATTAGGTTTGTTTATATTGTTATTATGTTCATGTTTAACAGCGTTATTGGTTAAGTTTGCATATGAAAACCAGTAATATCTGACTTCCCATGTTTCTACAACTGTTATTTTGTGATCTAATGTATCTCTGTATGCTTTTAATGTTACAGTAAACAAAAAAYGTGGCATAAAAAAGATTTTATAAGAGATCTGTTATTCCTCCTTAAGAAACTAATAATTTTTGCGTTTTAGTTTCATTTCAAACCAAGTATTTCACTTTATATAGGTGCCTTCAAGCGTTTTATCAGCCATTATGTGAATAAACGTGTAACTGCATGGAAAAATAAAGGCTACAAGACTATTTCCAAGCAGCTTCATGTTCCTCTGACCCAAAATTATTAAATGTATAAAGTTCACAGGACTGTAGTCAACTTCAAGATGAGGACTCAATAGGATTGCGACCCTAGGGTGATTGTATAGATAGTGAGGATGGTAGAAAAGAGTCAAGGAAACCATTCAAGTTGAACTCTGAGGTCAAGGTAAGTCACTTTCTGGTCACACCATCAGTCACATTTTGAATTATAACTGGTTCCATGGAGCAAGCTCCAATACTGATAGAAAATCACAAAATAAGTTAGATTATAATTCACCAAAATGCATGTCGATTAAAACAGACTCAAAGTTTCTGGTTTCATGGCAGGTCGCATCAATTGTATTTTATTAAACGTTTTATTAAACAATTTTTCCAATAGTGATAGAATAACTAAGCAGTCATAAAGTGTTTGTTGCTCATACACTGCACCCAACATTTGCATGCAAAAGTTGTCCTGTTCCACCACACATTGTGTTCTGCTTTGCACAAAATACAAATGTGCACAGCTGCCAGGTGCTGCATTACATTCAGCTGTAGTCCAAACACTAATCTGCACAAAATTTCAGGGGCCATTTTTTTTCTTCAGGGCTGTTCTGTGTCCCGTGTGTGTTCAAAGCTCTGCAGTAATTTGAACCCTGTCTGAATCAGCTAAAGTGCTGAAAAGTTTCCTCTCCCCTCAGAGACTGCCAAGCATGTCCTGAATAATAAGAGGAGGCCGGAGCTCATCTTCTTCTGTCGGCCTGGTTTAACTTCCCCCCTACACACACACGCACACACACACTACACCCCTGTGAAGCCTGCCGGGCCGGGCCGTGACAAAAGGGAGCGCCTGCTGAGCCSAACAGTTCGATCCTTGTCCTCTCCAAACAAATAGCACAGGAGGGCAGTTTCTTTTCAGATCTATCTTCTTAATCACACGTCAGCTGCATCATAAATCAGCGTTTCTAGTGCTGCTTTGTAATTTGCATAACGTGAGATTGCTGCTTAAACCGCCGTCACCACATTTTTCACCGGGACACTGATAAATAAACAGCACTCTTAAACAAGAGAGGGCAGGTGTAATTTGTTACAYCGGTTCTGACTCGGTGCTTCTTTATAGTTCATAAAATTAATAAAAAACAAAATAAATGGTATCTTTTTATGCAGTTCTCTAAACAATTTGGTCATCTTAATGAGCCTAAGATGTCTAAACATCTCAAGTAACTTTTCATTGTTGAAAATGATTTTAAAAAATGATTAAAATATTAGATCAGCAGCTGTGATTAACCAGAACATTCATACCATTTTATACAATTCATGTATGTCAAAAATATAATGACCCAAGACTGACCTGGTATAATCACTTCTTTTGTCCCAAACGCTTCCACCGGTCGCTCAGGTGTTGGCAGGGGGTGTGGGGGTATCAAGTCCACGGGCTCCTGGTAAACAGTTACCGGTTTATTCACAGGAGGGTTTGGCAAAACTGTGTATCCCATCCCACCAGGACAGATTTCTTTAAACATGGCTGCGAAATGACACAAAATACGCATCATTAAATACATTTCCCCATTAGAACCGTCACTATGAAAACTGTAAAAATCTTTAATGTGACAGCTTCTAAAGGTTTTACAGAACACTCAGCAGCCTTAAAGGAAGATTCCATCTATTCCAAAATATCTTACCTGCTGTAGATAGATTTTAAATAGCTTAAGTTTGGAGAAATAAAGTTTTGTCTGATAGGATTGATGAGCTAACAGAATGAAGTTCAGACCAAACTCGATAGCTGCCGTTTTAAAACACTACAAATGCTTTTTATGGAACCTCCACCTTCAAAACACCTGAATCCTGTTTAAATCAAACAATGATGGTCTTTTACAGACAGGAAGTAGCTTATATCTGAAGCAAATGTTTCAATCTTTAAATAAAATCTCCATAAAAAACAGCAGTAAATGTGGTTTTCTGATGCTTAGCAGTGCTCATCACAGAAGCTTCATATTTCCTGACGAGGACAGAAAAGTTTTGTTCGTACGGCAGGAGTCCAGGCAGGTGAGACACAGACAATAAAACCAAAGAATAACACCACTTTTTTAGGATTTTGTAAAAATAACATAAATAAACTATTAGTGTACAAATGATTAAGTCAAACAAAAGCTCTATCAAAAATGCAAATTTGATTTTAGCTTTAAAACCACAAAGTTTCTGTGTTATGAATGAAAGTGGAATTTTAAACAGGCTTAACAAAAACTAAACTCCACTACAAAATACTAAGTAAAAAAAGTACACAAAAAGAGGGATTTTATGTGTTAGGTGATGTTTTTTTCTGCAAAAAATACAACAAAGATATATTCAGAAAATGATAGGTCAACACAAAAAMTAATAGAAATCAATGTGACAAGAGTGTTGCAGAAATTTATTTGTTGTATAAATCAGGAGGTTCATTCATGRATATCAAAACTTTTCTAGGGAAGTTTCAAAAGGCTTTGGTCACTCTACCACAAAAACCAGACTGACCAAGTTCTGCACAGGTGCAGTCTTTTTTCTGAGTTGCTTTCCCCATTTCTAAAATGAGTTTTATCATTCAAAGTCATTAATACATTCTGATTAACTTGTTGGACAATTTAACTACACACACAAAAAATAAAAAAATAACTGAATTTTATGTATTCCTTACCAGATTTTACCTTTTACAAAAAACCATCAGCTTTTTTGCTATTTTGGAATAAACAATTATCTATGAAACTCACCATTTTTATTATCTACCATATTGATAGAGAAATCTGACAAAGGTCCATCAGACTTTTAACATGAGAGTTTAAGTGCCTTTATTATAAACAACTTTAAGTTGCTTAATTTAGACTTTAACATGATGAGAATTTACTTTGTTTCTATGTTTAGTGTATAAAATTAATAGGAATATCCTGAGGTGAACTGAAAGCATTTTCATCTGAAAAGTATAGAAACTGAAAGGGTCTGAATACTTTCCCAACAGATGTTGTAGACATGAACTGTGTGACAAAGTTTATAATAATCATTTGCTTTTTTTTTTAAATCAGTGAGTTTATCACTCAATTCTCTTAACCCGGTTGCTTCTGGGCAGGGTCAGGGGTACCTGGTCTCCAGTGGTCTTTGGAATACACCCTGGACAGGTTGCCARTTCATCACAGGCAACCATTTATGATCTCACTCACAGCTGGTGACAATTTAGAGTAGCCAGTGAACCTACCTGGAGAACATGCAAACTCCTCGTAAAAAAGGCCTCAGCCAGGAGTTGAACCTGCAACTTTCTGGCTGGTAGACAAGTAACCAACTGCCCGACCATGCAGCCCTCAGTTAATTTAAACATTAACTATGATTTTGAATTAATAAACCATAAACAAACAAATAAATAAATAAATAAATACAAACCCATACTTTAAATAAAAGATGTGCATATGCATGAAATCACACAACTACATTCAAGGCTGAAACTAACTGGAAGTAGAAAGAAGACAAGGGAGTCAAAGGGTGATAACAGCAACAGCACAAGACTTTCCACATGTACTCTAAAAGCAGCTGTTAAGTCATGCTCTGAACATCCACGCAGACACAACATTTTAGGATGAAAGAACAAAAACATGGTGAAACTCATTCACGAAGAGGGAAAAAACTGTTCTGGAGTCATAAAACATGGGCTTCTTTAAACAGCGTACCTTGTAAAGCTTGCACAGTGGTGTCATTACAAATGTTTATTCTGCCATGATGAATGGTTAAATATTGATGTGTATAGCAAAGTACAATTTGCCAAGCTACAGGTATTTAGCATTAGTGCACAAATTTAGTCATGTAGATATTATTCTTAAAGGCCAGAGTTGAGCCCAAACTGAGTCACTGGTACACTCTGCCTCACACCAAACCATCTCAAGTCCTCCAAGCAGCCTGCAGAGACCTCATGCTTTAGGTCATTTAGTTAGAAATCTGGAGTGGTTATCTATGAGTAAGTGACTACTTAAGCAGTAAATGTGACATTTCTATAGGACCTGTTTGTAACAAAAGGTCCAAAACATAAAAACAATAAAATCATTACATATTAAACCACATCATTCACACAGGGTTGTGTGTATTTATTATATCTTGATGGCTTCCCGTGAATCAGTTCAATAACCTATGCTGTTTTGAGCTGGGAGTCAAAGACAAGAGACAGGCTGGTGCAACAATAAAGATCCTGCCTCCTTTGTTTACCATGAGGTAAACTGTGATAAGGGTTATTTACYGATTCAATTATCTTTGGTTTTGTTCAAATTTTGGGACCAATTCTTGTTAGTGAACTATGTGTTATTCAGGTATTTTGGCCATTCCCTCCAAACACCTTAGCTTTAAATAACACCTAGTCGAGGATGATCAGGCCTAGGTGTGTGTTTCTCAGCCAGTGGGATTTGTTTAGAGTAAGTTAAGGCCCTGTCACACTATAATGCTTAATACACAACATAGGGGTTCATCCTGTAACTGTTGGGTTGCTGGTTCAAACTCTTGCTCCATCCATCTCTGTTGTTGTGTTCTTGGGCAAGATACTTCACCCAACCTTACCAGTTGGTGTGGTCAGTGGTGTACGGCAGCCTCACCTCTGTCAGTCTACCTGAGAGCTAYATTGTAGCTTACCACCGTCAGCACCACTGTCAGTGTGTATCCAGAGTGTACGAATGGATAAATGACTGTAGTGTGAAGTACTTTGAAGTCCTTGGACTTGATAAAGTCCAGGCCATTTGGACAACTTATGCTGATTTATGAAAATCTTGTTATGAATAAATTACTCTTATATGTTATAAATTCAGTCTAATTGTTAGCGTTACAGTATGTATACATCAAAAATAGGCTTCCTGCAAATATTTTTATTCCATTTTCAGTGTTGGACAAAATTTTCACAAGTTGTCTAAAACATCACAGTGTGACAGGGCCTTTCCATTTAGGCATTCAAGCAGATTGGTCTGGTGTTTTGTTAACGTCAGATATAAATATAAGATGTACTACTGTTTTAATATCTATCATAATGTTAGGAACTTGAAAAAATTGTATAAATTGAATGGTTCTCATTGTCCATTTTTAAGACCCATCTAAAGGCACACTTTTACTTATTGGCCTTCAACCCAATTGTTTTGATTTTATTTAATTTTAGTGACTTTATCTGTTTTAATCTTCTTTTTATTTTAATTTTAAATTATCTGTTTTTATCTTCTTTTTATTTCTATTTTTTGCATTTTGCTGATGTTCAGCACTTAGTTCAGCTGTGGCTGGTGTTGATGATGATGATTGATGATTGATGATGATGATGATGATGATGATGATGATGATGATGATGATGATGATGATGATGATAAAAATGTTTGAGAACCACTGCACTAAACCTTACAGTCAGTCGTAGGATACCAACTTATTATTTTTTCAAATAGCTTTTTCCATTTGATCTATTGTTGTGCATGATGTTTTTTAACGATGGTTGGTTTTGTTTAGTTTCTCTCCTTGACCATTTCTACAAAACATATGACAACTAGTTGTTTTAGGGAGGAATATCCCTACACATCCTCACAAAGAAAACTTGCCATTCAACATGAAGAATAAACAAATGACCTGACTCTTGGATGAAAGTCCCAAAGGCCCTATTAATACACAAAATGCTTGGGACAAATATTAATTGAAATCTATGCAAATTAATTCACCAAGAGGTGTTTAACTTTGATTAAATGTGCATTCATTTACATTGCTGATGGTTCCCAACATTTCCAATGTGCATTTAAGCATCAGCTAAAAGACTCAGAGGTTTGTGATCACAAAAATCTAAAGCTACACCTGAATCTGTGTGAGGAGAAGAAAACTTTTCTTTTTAAACTGAGCTCTACAAACTGCTGAGTGAGAGGACAAACCTGACAGGGATGCTTAAATGGCATCCCAATCGATGAGAGTCAGAGTGGCGTTTGGCCCATACAAATGGGGAAGAAAAGTCTGGAGGCATGTAAGCCTTGCGAGACTTGGAGCCTTACCTGTTCCTGGAGGGGGGCATTTGTCACAATGAGGGCCCCAGGCTTTGCCCACACTGCAGCAGCAGAGCTGTTTGCTCAGCTGGGCAGACACTGGGTGCAAACACTGCCTCCCTGAGCTGACCAAACGGAAGCAAGCGCCCTTTTCCTCCTGGACGGCAGCTGTGTTGGCTGAAGAGGAGCGCAGGAGGAGAAGGTGGAGGGTGGAACACCAAAGTGTAGAAGACACAGACATGAGGGGGAGGGGAGGGGGACGACAAGACAAACATGAAGAAATAAAAAAGGTTCCCTTCACCAGAACAAAAGTCTTCAATCAAAGCTAAAACATAAACACACATTCTAACACACCATAGGAAGGACAACATGTTGTAGGAAAACATTAAAAATATATTTTATGTCATTTTTTCATGCAAATGCTTCATGCACTATCAACGTCAAGTGTTGACTCAGATGAAGGCATGCGAGAGAGTTTGGCTTCGTCTCTGTGTTGTGTTTTATGGCACTGTAAAAACCTCCTCACAGCATCCAATTGGAGATGGTTCACAGACAAAATAACGATCTCCAAGGCAGGTCAAGAATGTTCTGTTCAGGATTTCTGTCTTCCAAGAAGCATTACCTCAAGTAAATCTTTTCAGTTACTGGTTAAACACTTGACCCATATTTTCCCAACAAATAAGCAGATTTTAAAACATCTGGAGTGAGTGCGGTTTCAAAAATCATTAAAGCTTGTTTTGAGTCTTTAATTCAGATAAAACTCATTTACTTTAAGTGTTGAAATAGCAAAATATTTCTTGACTTCAAGGTTTAGCTTCAAAGTTTTATCTGGAAACGTAAGGCATGACTGAAGAGTTGGTTCAGCCCCGTTCAAACTGTAGCTAAACAAGTATCTGCTAGACCAGTGTTTCCCAAAGTTGGGGTCGGGACCCAAAGTGGGGTCCTCAAACATCAAGGTGGGGTCCTGAAAAGATTTTCTGAATTAATTACATTTTTGCCTTAGTTGTTACAAAGGAGTGAGGTTAGTGTATTTAAAATGGATAAATGTAGTATAAAAATATTGTTACTATGCCCGTGTTTAGTTGACCTGATACAAATGTTTATCATCCAGAAACAGTTGGGGGCACAGGTCTCTGCTACTGTTATTTTGTGGGTCAAAAGCTGAAAAGTTTGGGAACCACTGTGCTAGGCTATTGCTGGTCTTCAAAGGGTCTTGAAGACATAGAGCACTCAGTCGGTAGCCAGCCAAAACTAGTTTGATTTAAGCAGCAGGGTGACCAACAATGAAAATTCAATCTGTCATCAGACAGAAGACAGATTTAAAAGTTAACCAAACAATGGCAGGATGCACCCTGCACAGGAGGGTGGGCAGCTGGGAACATGAGGCTATACCAGAAACCTCGCTACTATTTATTCTTTCTCTAGTTAATCCAAGTTTGTTTATCCCCCTGCCAAGCGTGAGATGACTATCTTGCTGACTTAGGGAGAAAATTAAACATGAAGGAAAAATCATCACAATTATCCAACAGTGGACCATTTTGTGGATGCCACCATCTTTGCACAGTACAAAGCATTATGGTCCATTTTAGGGGCATCTGGTGCCACTGTGTGACCTGAAGGAGTGTGAAAGTGGCAGCGTGAAGTGAAGATTGCTGTGCCAAGTATTGCTTGTGTATGTGTAACAATTGTCACAGATTATTGAAGTGCCTGTGATGTCAAATTTTTGTAATACATATGAATACATTTTAGAAAGATGACATTGATAACATATTGCTAAAGAAATTTCATGTCACTGAGATGAACAGTTGTTGAGATATTTGCATGTGAAGAAATAGGAAATGATGTCAAAGGAGAATGTCTGCATGTGAACAGAGCGTTAATACAACAGCCAACAACCCAGACTGTAGGGAAGAATCGGATGTTTCTTAAGATTATTTTGAGTCACTGTCAGAGAGAGCTGAAGAAGAGTCAGAGTTCAAATAATATTGTTTCAATAAACAAAGACCAGAGAGTTTTCTTTGTTAGAGTTCCCCTTTGATGTCACTTCCTGTTTCACTTTGGCTGAGCCAAGTTCAAAAGAAAATATGCCAGTTATTGGACAAAATGGGTTAAATTGTGTGTATTATTCAAACTTTCTTAAATATAAAGATGTTTTCTTTGACTTTTTGTATTTGAAGAATAGGCGTCACAAGCACTTTAAGAATATATGGAATAATGAAAACTTGAGATAAATGCACCAAGGTCTAGTACTATAGCACATCTAGTATTATAGTACACGTCTAGCATTATAGTACACATCTAGTATTATAGTGCAGGTTTAGTGCTGAAGATGTTGATGTTGGTTTACAGCAATCTTGGCCACATTTCATACAGTATTTGCCAAGTGCAGATCATTTTAGCCACTTAATATTACAAAAAATACAGTCTTCTTCAAAAGTATTGGAACAGCAAGTCAAATTCTCGTAGTTTTGTTGTACACTGAAGACATTTGGGTTTAAGATCAAAAGACGACCATGAGACTAGAGTTCAGAATGTCAGCTTTTATTTCCTAGTATTTACATGTAGATATGTTAAACAACTCAGAAAATACCACCTTTTGTTTGAACCCCACATTTTTCAAGAGAGCAAAACTATTGGAACATGTGACTGACAGGTGTTTTTAATGACCAGGTGTTGCCTTTAAAGTTGATTGTTCAAACATTAAATAGCTCTGCATGACTAGTCTACTTTTTGGCCTGGGTTTAAAACTATAAYGTAGGTTTTTCAGAGGATAAACCAACATGAAGACCAGAGCGCTGTCTATGGGAGAAAAGTTGAGAAAAGAAGGAAAATCAATCACAGCCATTGGACAAATATTGGGCATGGCAAGCACAACAATTTGGAATGTCCTGAAACTACTGGTGTACTGAGCAGCACACATCCAACAGGTCGGCCAAAGAAAACAACAGTAGTTGATGACAGAAATATTTTGAGAGCTGTGAAAAAAAAACATCTGTAAGTGACATCACCAACAACCTCCACAGTTCAGGGGTGAAGGGATCACAATCCACTGTTTAAAGAAGAAATTAAATAAATAGAGCAGAAATTTAGAAGCCATACACAAAGATGTAAACCACTCATCAGTAATAAGAATCAGAAGGCCAGACTGAAATTTGTAAAGAGCCACAAACGTTCTGGAAGACAATCTTATGGACTGATCAGACCAAGATTAATCTCTACCAAAGTGATGAAAAGGCCAAAGTGTGGAGAAAGAAAGGAACTGTTGATGATCTGAAGCTCATCTGTGAAGCATGGTGCAGGTAATGTCATGGCAGGTAATGTCATGGCTGCTTCTGAAACAGGCTCATTCATATTTATTTATGATGGAACTGATGATGGTAGCAACAGAATGAATTCCAAAGTGTACAGAAGCATTTTGTCTGCCAAATTACAGAGAAATGTATCCAAACTAATTGGGAAGAATTTTATCATGCTGCAGGAAAATGATACAAAGCACACTGCCAACAAAACAAAACACTTCATTAGGGGAAAAAATTGGAAGATTTTAAATTGTCCGAGTCAGTCACTTGACCTTAACTCAATAGAGTATTTCACCTCCTGAAGAGGAGACTGAAGGGAGAAACCCCATGAAACAAACAAGAACTGAAAGAAGCTGCAGTAAAAGTCTGGAACAGCATCACAAATACAGAATGCAACAGTTTGGTGATGTTGATCGGTCGCAGGACTGAGGCAGTCATTGCAAGCAAGGGTTATGCCACCAAATATTAAATGTTATTTACTTTAAGATAGCTTGTTCCAATACTTTTGATCACTTAAAAATGCTGTGGTGCAATACAAACGATGATAAATCCTAAGTTGTTTAACACATCTACATGTAAGTACCAGGAAATAAAAGCTGACATTCAGAACACTTGTCTCATGATCATGTTTTGATCTTAAACCCAAATGTCTTCAGTTAACCTCTATTTTGCATCTCCAGATTGTTATTTTAGGCACTAATATCAACATTTGAACATTTTAAAAGTTTGTCCTTTTTCTGATTAGAAGTTGGCCCAGCATGAACCAAAAGTAAACTATTTAAGCTGCTCAACAGTCCAATCTTCAAAGTCTGATAACCTGTCCCGTCACTGACTTCACTGTCAGTTGCCCCCAAACAATCCCACAAACCATTGTGTGCCATATCCAGTAGGCAGAACTAAACAGCATCTGTGAAATGGTCCAGGGAAATTCCCTGTTAACCATGAGAAATAAACGTCAATCATATAATTCTCTGACATGAGTTGAACGGACTCTACAGAGCTTGGTGAGGGCAAAGGAAACAATCTAGAGAATATAGAAAGAAAAGCAGGAAAAGTGTATTTGGTGAGTATTAGAGGTGAAATGGCATTACAATTGCCTTCACCCTGAATGAGGTTTTTGAAATTTGCTACAACCCTGTCACATTTTATTAGGTTATGTAGGAGCTGGGTCAACATCCAGTAAGAATGGGGCTTTGGTTTCAACTCAGCATAAAACAAGGAGGCAAAGGGAATTGTTTTTTTCTCTTCACTGAACATTTGGATTTACCAGGTTGTTGTGATTCTGTCTCATTGAAGTCCTGATTTTTATCAGATGTCCAAATAAGAACATTATAAAAATGCATCAGTATATTTTATGAATAATGTCTCACATTGCCTTAAATCTTTGTTCTCTTTATCTGTTGAAGGCCTTTGTTCTGAGTCAGCCTGGATTAACCCAAAGCATGAATTGGAAAGTTAAGCTGGTTTTACACACATGCACTGTAGTAGACCTGAACATTTCCATCGCTGCATGTAGAAATGGAAATTTAAGCAACACTGGGTCTGACTTTTTACAGGGTTTACCCAGACTGCTGGCTAGTAGTGAGTCCAGAAGATCATCAAGTGTGCCCACATGTGAAAGCAGTGAGTTAATCTTCAACACAAAACCTGTCAGTGTGACGTGCAACAACAGAAAGAGTCCAGGCTAGACTGTCTGCATATTCTTCCCAAAAAATCTATATTTTTCATGGGTCAAAACTCTTGAGAATCACAAACCTTTAAACTAAAGAGATGCACTGTGAGCCTCTGGTTTCAATGAAGGAGACGATTAAGATGGCTGAACTAACAAATTCACGTTTAGCACATAAACCTCATTCAGATGACAGATAAAAGGCCTGTTAACATGTTGTTTTAAGAGAAGACATAGTTTATTTTAGAAAAAMCACCAGCGCTGAACTCTCAGGCCCTTCAAGGCATTTAAAGAACGCCCCAACCCACATAGACAAAATTTGTCTGTGCCTGTTCTGGCCCACACAATACAACACTTGGCTCAAATAAGGCAATGACGGCCCTTTGGTGGCCCAACTGTGGATTGCCAGAGATGGCCTATGAATGGGCCAGCACCATATAAGCCAAACCACAACTAGGCCAGTTGTGGCATGCTGTCTTAAAAACCATGGCATCATTACCAAACCTAGTTCACATCTGGTTGACAAACCACTTGCCATGCTAATAGTCAGCTAGAAGTACCAGTCTAACACCAGATCCACCTGTCTGCTATGTGGGAAGTTGATCAATGAATTTAAAAAAATGTATTTCATATAGTTTTCCATTTGGGAACCAATAAGAATTTTGGATGCAGTCTCCAGGCAGAGTTATCCTCCACCCATGTTCCAAATTCTTATTTGGATGCCATCAAACAAAMCTGAACCATACGATAGGATAAATGATTTAATAAGTGATTCACACTTATATTCACAGTCAGTGGGTGTTTCTCAAGATTTGAGGGTATTGTTCCTGATCTGTGGGCTGATTTCTGTAGAAAAGTAATTACTAATCAGCAATATTCAACAACACAAAAAAAGTAAAGGGTGGATGTTATACTGTTGGTGAAACACTGTTGTCTTTTTCAAAYTGACCTTAATAAAAAATGGACTTGGTTAAAAAAGACTTCCCAACATCTTCTTCTACCCTCATATAAGCAGATGAATGTGATACAATCTGTTGAATTGAGTTAATCAGATCCAAAGGCCCTGTCACACTAGACAACTTATGTCAACTTATGAAATATTTTTCATGTCTAAATTGCTAATAAGTTATATATTTGATCAGTTAGTTAGAATTACATTATGTACACTCTGAAAAGAAGCTTCCTGTTGATTTTTTTCAATTCCATCTTCAACGTAGACGTCTTTAAAATGTTCATAAACTGGCATAAGTTGTCTAGTGTGACAGGGCCTTTACATCTGGGAGTGCTTAGGTTACGTTAAAATGGAAAAGCTCTCAGAACCTTGGTTATTTAACCAAAGCTGCACAAACACACAAGAGGCATGGATCATCATGAAAACCCTTAGAAAATATGGATAAAATATTTACATACTGTATACAATTCAGGAGGACAAAATGGAATGGATTTARTTGTCAAATAAATATCAGTGGTAAGTGAACCCTTTTCTTTTTTGTCCAATTTTATCACAGATTACATTGTAATCATTGTTAGCACATATTCGGGATTAGACGTGGGAAGTGTGATATAGTTTGGCCATGAGATTTTAGAAGCTCATGCTTGAGTTACTGTTATTATGAAATGAACACCATGCTTTCCTCCATGCATTGTATTCACATATGCATGTCATCAAACACAGCTGTACCAAATAAAATTCACATTTCATTGTGCATTCAGAGAGGAGTGACAAATAAACTTAGGGAGGATACAAAGGAGCAAAACTTAGAAACCAGCATGCAAATGGAACGCAGCACCTCTGCTTTGTGAATTACTTTACTGATGGACAGGAGGAGGGTTTGTGTACTTTTGTGTATACTTACATATGCATGTGGTGAGGGTGGGGTCAGGGGCATAGCCAGGTTTACATGTGCACCTGTAGCTGCCCATAGTGTTCACACATTTTCCATTGGGACAGACGCCATTCAGCTGGCACTCATCCAAATC